TTAAATTTTGACAGATCTATTAATAAAGTCATTCTTTTGAGCCAAGTATGAATGGTCACACTTCAACTATAACACTTTATTATTCTAGAAATGGATTTTTGATTTGGATTTAGTATTTAGATATTGGAATATTATAACAACAACAACTATTAGATAATGTTATGATATATTGGGATATAGTCATCACATTAATACTTGTTGTGTTCTATATTAACATGTTCAATCCATGAATAATGTTATTATTCTAAAAGTGCATAGTTAGTTATAATTGTGGTAGCAATTATGAAGTAAGACTAATATGAATTGGATTGGTTGACTCTCACTAGATGAAAGTAGGCAAGTAGTTGTAACCAAGTTTCATAGGTACTTGTCTCAGAACTAGTATTGAACTGACCGACATCAAGATCATCTCATGGATCACTATCATGAATGATACTTGATTAAAAGGTACTATCTTTGTATCCTTAACACCTGAGATACATAGCAGAACTTAAGTGTAGGGAGTACTATGCTTTGATAATGGTCAAATGTTGTTCCTTAACCGACCAGTTATAAAAGCCATTTTCAGGTATGGTCTGAACTATGCAAGAGGATTATGTAGTCAATATGGGATTTGTTCCTCTTATGTGTTGAGAGTTAGACATCTAAGGCTCCTTACCAAAAATTTGAACAACTAATGAGATTGATCGTGATCCGAATCTCATATTCAACATGATGTCTGTAGCAAAGGGATAACTAATAAACTTACCTTATACACCAGTTGTAGCTTTGAGCTTTTTGGGAATTCGGCGTTGATAGAATGGCACAAATAGTCGTATGGTCTTAGGGGTAGTGAAATGTTGCTAGACGTTCACCACTGTCTATATCAATCTAATATATGTATTGCGCAAGTGGGAGATTGAAAGACCTAGTATGCTCAAGCGTCATATTAAAGTGATATTACTAAATAACATATGATACTAATGGGTCACACTAACAACAACTTGATACAATTGATTATTTATTAGGAACTGATTTTAATAAACATTCAATAAAACTCTTATAAATAAATTGGAAATTATTTATTTCATGGAAATAATAAATTCCATTCGCAAGTAACTTAATATATATCATATGGTATGATTTATAAGTCATGTGCAAACTTTTGGACTAGTTGAATCCTTTTGTCTTTTTCCTAAAAGACAAAGTTTATATTTTATAAAAGAGTTTATAAAAGTTTGACTTTCTTTCTTCTTCTTAATGAAATTTTCGAGATATGCATAAAAAGAAAAAGTGTATGACTTGTCTAATCATGCTTTAAAGGCATGAGAGACATGCTTATGAAAATGGGAACAAGATTATTTAAAGTGTTAAGGACTAATGGTCAATAACTTCACTTTATGCATATAAATAAGAGAGCTTTCACTTAGATTATTTGCTCATTCATTCCTTGATGCAAATCTGAATCCTCTCTTCCCTCTCCCTTTCTCTCTAGTTTTGGTTAGAAAACTTGAAGAACACTTGCATCTTCAAGCCCTCTTTAAGTTCATATTGGTTATGAACTTAAAGCTTAAGGGTTTAAGAGTTTTGGACTAGCATTTACAATAACTTGAGTCATTGCTATTGTCTCAAAGGTTCCACATTTTTCATCAACTTCCAAGCCTCCCGAGAAACCCTTGCCACCAATTGTGAGTTTTGGAACCCTTAGTGTGATTTTCGGTTTACTATTAAATAAGGCGTCCATTGAAGAAACAAGTATAAGCTCCAAGCTTTGTAGATCCACACTTTTTACTTCATCACCAATTTCTAGAAGGTACAAAGTTTTCATCTTGATGATACATTTGTTAGATCTAGCTAGTTACGGGTTTTATAAGGTTTTTATCCCTTGACCTCGGTCCAAGTGAGTGCGAGCTACTCTAGACCTTATGACTAGCAGTTTCCATCATTTCTGAGCTTGTAGAGTGATAAAAATGGGTGCTTGGTCACACCTATATTTCCATGCTTGTGTAGTTAGGCATTGAAGTGTTTTTTGGACTAAGGATTTGGTATCACGCTCCATTAATCCATGCAAATGCATAAAGTTGAAGACTTTATCTCATAGGATGTTATTTAGGACCACATTTGAGAGTTGGGCGTTTAATCTTTTTGGATTAAGGACTTAATAGGAAGTTGGAAAATCAAAGCAGTTACGAGGGGCGTAATATTGGCTACACAGGGCGTAACTTGATTTTATCTCGATTCCATATTAATGTAATAAGTTTTGATGACTTCCGAAATCGGAATCAGATCGCAAGTGATCAGTAAGTTCTGATGGCTTCTGAAACCATAATCGAATCTCAAGTGAACAATAATTTCTAGCGGTTTTCAAAGATCAAAATCAGACTAAAGTAAACCTGAAGTCTTGGAAGATGGATTTTTGGTCAAATGGGTTTTTGGACCAAATAGAGTGGGCCCTAGTCTTGGAAGGGTAAAATGGTCTTTTACCCAGAAATGGAGAGTGAATATCGGGTGTGAATTAATTACTTTGATTTCTAATTAGGATATTAGGCATCTCGAGAGCAAGATTTGTTTGTCTACAGTTGAGGCGAGTCTTCTCACTATACTTATGAGTTGTAGGCACCAATTCCGACCACTGGATTGTGTTAGGTATTATGCTAGTTGTCTTTGTGATATTTACATGGAAAACCCCAAGGTTAGCCCGTGACATTTGTATAAAAGACCATGGGGGTACCACATGGCACTTGCGTGTAAGATCTTACGGCAAGGCCGACTCTTTGTGGAAGTTTTCTAAGCTAGGGCTTAGGGGACCCAACTTTAAAGGGCCCTATATTCTCCAAACTACAAAAGTTTAGTCCATTAAAACACCCAATTTGGTAACTACAAAATAAATCAAACGGAAAAATAAATCAATGATCACTAGACTCAAGAAACTAAAACGACGTTGCATTCTTCTACTGATTTTGATTTCTATGACACATGTATCTTACCCGTTTCCGATTTCCGAATGAATGATTCCAATGAAATAATCATTCATCTTCTATTCTTCTGACTTTTATCTTGATTCTCGATTCAAATCCTCATAGGTATCTATTCTAGTATCTTTTATCTCGATTGTCGATTCTCTATTAGAAGTCTTCTACATGTATTATCATTTATTGAAATGTATATGAGTAAAATCACATCTTATAGAAAGCATAATGTAGGGGTGATTTGATTCAGATCACTTTCAATTACTTTTTCGATTAGAATATAGCTATATGATTGAGCTATCTAGTCCTAAATACATAAATTCTTGACAGTGAATGATAGGTTTTCGTAACAGGTTTGTTATGTACTTTTGTTATATTAGGTGTTATAAGAATCACATAGAAATTTTCATCAAATTCTTGTTGATTTAGGTTATTACAACAGGAAAGCTCCTTTATACCATATTAAAATTATCCATGAAGAAAACATAAAGAATGAACTTGTATGTTAATACAATTGAGGAGTATAGTAAAGGCCAAAGGGCCTTAAAATTTTGGTTCGCTTAGAGCCCCCAAATTGGTTGAGCCGCCCTGTCTTAAAGTAACCAAGGCATTACAAGGGAAAACCATGGGGGCGGTCCATGGCAATGAAAGACCATGAGAGTAGCCCCTGACACATAGATGAAAGATCATGGGGTAGCCCACAACATCTGTATACAAGACCATAAGAGTAGCCCTTGACAATGTATGTATGACATGTGATATTTTGGAGAACTTACTAAGCTTTCTGTTTACGGCTTGTGGTTTAACATTTTTTATAGGTACTTCCAGATTCAAAAGTAAGGGTCCAGCTTGACTGCACCGCATCACCTGATGGCCTTTTCCGCATTGGTTACTTTAGAGATACTCTGATGTTTGAAAAAAAATACACTTTTATTTTATTTTGTTTTGAATTAATTGATCGTATGACTTGATATTTAAAATGAAATTTTTTATTGGTATTTTTGGAACATTACATTTTGCAGGTTAAAAACATAATTCAAATAGGTTTTAAAGGTTTAGGAATTTATATATTCCAAAGTTCCATAGGCGATTTATGAGTTTGAATCGGTTTTGAAGGCTTAGAAATCTACTAGTCATTAGTTCCATCAACGTTTTTTTGTTTTGTTCATGGTTAATGATGTAGACTATGGTTCTTGATGTAATATTTATATTTTCTTAATAGAAACCCATTAGGTGATGTAGATAAACAAAATTCCCAAAAAGATTTTATATTTTCTGAATCTAGTGGAGAAGAAAGTATAGACTGTGATCGAGATGGTGGAAGAAGATGTAAGAAGAAAGATAAAAATGATGGGATGAGATGAAACGATCTTAGGTGAGATGGTGTGGTCGTTTATAACTTAATACCATTATAAATTATAAATTGCAGTTAAACAAAAATAAAAGATAGAAGATAATAAAAACATGCAAGAGTTATTTTACGTTGTTCAAAACCAAATATATAAAGAATCGAAACATGTCATGTTCATAAAATAAAAAAAGACCAATTTCTGACTTTATATGAAACAAAAGGATCATTTATGGAACTTTATGTACAATAAAACTAACCAAAAACATAAAAAATATAAAAAATATATTATAAAATAGCAAATAGCAAAACTTTAAGGATTTTTGTTTCATTATCTCTTTTTATATGCATATTTGTGGTCCTTTTGGTAACATGTTAGTGCATGGTGGTCATCATTCTACATTTTCCATCATCCGCTAAATAAAGAATGACAGATTCGCTTCTCACTATTCCAATTAGTCCTTCGGTCATCTCATCTTCATCTTCTCCTACAAGCAAAAGACAATCGAACCAATTTCTTTATTCATTCAATAAATTACCAAAAATAATCACCAAAAGAAAACAAAAACAAAACCACAAAGCATCTAGATCTTACATACTACAGAAGCTTCTTCTTCCTCCACCTCCCTCTACACACAGTCGTAGGTTTTGGTGGCATGAAAGACCATGAAAGAAACCACAAGAGAAGCCATTAAAGCAACACCATGAAACCTTATTTGATGAGCTTCATGCTCATCCTTTCACTCTTTACATCAGTCACAACAACCACCCACAGAAGAATTCTCCACCAGCCATTGTTTCCGGCGACACCGACACCTCCAGCAGGGCCGGAATTGCCACCTTCCCAACCATCACCCACCACTTCGGACCACCCTTTCTTCCAAGAAAACCCAAATGGAAAAACCCCAGATCAAACGCAATCACCGCCGCCGCCAGCGACGGCGGCAGGAGTATCCACTAACACCACGGCGACGCACCCGATTGCACCACAGCCGGCGGCCAAACCTGCTAAGAAGATCGCAGTTGCGATTTCTGTCGGACTTGTGACTCTCGGAATGTTATCGGCGTTAGCTTTCTTCATCTATAAACACAAATCGAAACAGCAAACTGAATCGAGCAAACTCGTCGGAGGAAATAGTTTGCAGAGAAATGGTGAAGAAACATCAAGAAATTTGCCTCCGTCGAGTTTTCTTTATATTGGGACTGTGGAGCCGGCGATAACAACAATGACAAGTGATCATTCGACGAATGGAACAAGAAATGGGTCACCATATAATAAGTTAAATTCGATTAAAAGATCCGATCGATATAGACCCAGTCCTGAATTGCAACCACTTCCGCCGCTTACTAAGCCTCAGCCACCACTAACATCCATCAATTCGCCGCCGGCGGTGTCTTCTTCAGACGATGAAGAAGAAGAAGAAGAAGAAAGTCAAGATTTTTACACTCCTCATGGATCAACTGCAAGCACCGACGATGGGTATTCTGTTCGGAGTTTCAAACGGAACGATCGCCGGAATTTAAGTCCGGTGCCTCTTTCTAAGCGAACTTCCCCAAAATCGAGACTTTCGATTTCTTCTTCACCGGATACAATATCGGAGAGAAATCATCCCGCCGCTTCTCCGTCGGCGCAACCGCTAGGAATAACAAATGGGCCCAGAAGGACGAAATTCGCGGCACCACCTCCGGGACCTGATATGACACGTTTGCATTCTAATCAATCACCACATAAACCCAAAATCCCAGTCCCCCCACATCCGCCGCCGCCACCACCGCCGGAAAAACCGGGAGCTTTTCCGATTAAGACCATTTCAACGTCTAGTTCTTATCAACAACTGAGAAAGACGGAATCAATGAGTCCCAGTGCTAAAGTAATTCCAAAAATTGTGAAAACAAATTCTTTCCCAGAATCAAACAACCGTGACGCCGATGATTTAAAACCGAGGCTGAAGCCTTTACACTGGGATAAAGTCCGAGCAACCTCCGATCGAGCCACCGTATGGGATCAGCTAAAATCAAGCTCCTTTCAGTAAGTATAATTAGATTCTGACATTCTGTTATATATCAAATTTCTGATGCATAAATCATAATCCATCCATCGTTTTGTAGATTGAATGAAGATATAATGGAGTCCCTTTTTGGATGTAACTCCGGCGGATCAACCAAGAATGAAGACAACCCTCGGAAATCAGTTGTTCCTCCGGCGATGCATGAAAACAGAGTGTTGGACCCCAAAAAGTCACAGAACATCGCCATACTTTTAAGAGCATTGAATGTAACACAGGAAGAAGTATCCGATGCACTTCTCGATGGTAAGTAAATTTAATTTCGATTCATTTAAGAATGAAGCCTAGAATTAGATTTCATAATGTCATCTTTATGGCGTCATCATCTTCATCTCCGACGATTTTCAGGAAACCCAGAAGCTTTAGGTGCAGAGCTCTTGGAAACACTAGTAAAAATGGCGCCCACGAAAGAGGAAGAGATCAAACTTCGAGATTACAGAGGTGATGTATCGAAATTAGGATCAGCAGAAAGATTCTTGAAAGGAATCCTCGATGTTCCATTTGCATTCAGAAGAGTTGAAGCCATGCTTTACAGAGCAAACTTCGACAACGAAGTTAAATACTTGAGATCTTGTTTTCATACATTAGAGGTATGTAACTATGTATAAATCTATCGTTTAAACATCATTCAAACAACAAATTAGAATCTTTATCGCAATTGTAACTCATTATGATTGAATTTCTTCCAGGCAGCAAGTGAAGAACTGAAGAACAGTCGGTTATTCCTTAAACTCCTCGAAGCAGTTTTAAGAGCAGGAAATCGCATGAACATTGGAACAAATCGTGGTGAAGCTACAGCTTTTAAACTCGACACCCTTTTAAAACTAGTGGATATAAAAGGAACAGATGGAAAAACGACATTACTTCACTTCGTCGTTCAAGAAATCATCAGATCAGAAATTGGCAATTCCGATTCCAATTCCAATTCCAATTCCAAACCTGAAACATATCCCACATTCAACGAAGGGACATTCAAGAAGCAAGGATTACAAATCGTGGGTGGATTAAGTCGAGAATTAGGGCACATCAAGAAAGCGGCGGGAATGGATTCCGATGTATTAAGTGGCTACGTGAAAAAACTCGAAACAGGGCTTCAGAAAATCCGATCAACAGATCACGAAACATCAGAAACGCAAGGAAATTTCTTTATCTCGATGAGGGGTTTTCTAAAAGAAGCTGAATTAGAAATCGGGAAGATCAAGATCGATGAAAAGAAGGCGTTAGGATGTGTGAAAGATGTTACTCAATATTTCCATGGCGATACTGCGAAAGAAGGGGTGTATCCACTTAGAATCTTCACGATTGTAAGAGATTTTTTAGGGATTTTGGATCATGTTTGCAAGGAAGTGGGGCAAATGCAAGATAGAATCATGGTGGGGTCAGCAAGATTACCCTCTGTGAACAGATATAATGTGAGGGAGATTAGTAGTTCTGATGAAGAAAGTTCATACTCGACATGAGAAGGGAAATGTGTTTTACGTGTATAAAAATAAGCATATATAACTTCTTGATTTTGGGTTGAACAAATCATGTATTGGATCAAGGATATGGAATCTACAAGAGAAGTAGGTGGTATGAGGGGATTTTAAACTTGGGATTTTGTGGATCTTTCGATGAGATGTAGATTATAGTTATACATTTATGTTTTATGGTAGTTTTATTTGTTTACATACAAGGCTAAAGGTAAAGGATTAAGAATATTTGTTTAAGAACATTATGGTTTAGTTTGAATTTTGTAAGAGTATTATTTCATCAAGAGGGAAATTCTTTTAATTATTGTGTTTTTTGTTAGGAATTGTATAAGATTACATTATGCAATTAGTTACAAGTATGACGAGAGCATAAATTATTTTAGTTAAACGAACGAATATGAATTAAGTTAATTGAATACATGAACAAATTAAGGAACAAAGTTTATTGTTTGTGTTTATAAGTGTAGCAAGAGCATAAATGATTATAAGTGAATAGACATTTGACATAAACATTCAAATTAATTACCATACATAACCAAAATGAATATAAACATCAAAATAAAAAATAACATATTTGAAAAGCTTTTAGATATATATTGATGTAAAAGACTTTTGGAACATAAGAATAATCACAAACATAAATGAAAACATACGAACATAAAAGAGCGTGAAAAACAAACTTAAATGGATGGAAACTATCATTAACAACAAACATAAATGAACGTTCATGTATGGTGTTAGAAAATAATAGTAACTAAATAATCGAATAGTGTTCGATTTAATGGGTTAAACTTATTTGATTTTTGGTTTGATTTTTGATTAAATTGAATATTCTTAAAAAAAACAGTTTAGTATTCAACTTAACTTGGACATTTTTTTATTGGTTAGTTGGTTTTGATAAATAAAAGTAATAATAATAGAGAATAAAGGACTATTATATTTGTTTTTGGATCATGTTGAATGTTGATGTTATTTTTTTATATCTTTATTTTTATAGGTTTAATTTTGAAAGTTAGATCAAACCTATGGTTGACTAATCAATATATATTATATATTTTGTATTTTGTATTGAATCTCACTTACAATTATTACTCTTTCAAATATTTTTTCTTACAATTTCATAATAACTTACACTGTATCAATAATGAGCATTTAAACTCACTAAAACTTTTTATTACCCATGACCTAAATATTTACCAAAATTGTCTAATAGCCAAATAATATAAAGAATGCTAAGTTTCACCCTTATATCCATGTTTCTTATAAATATACACTTGAGATCCTGATTTTTGTTATTTGGATTTATCGAAAACCGAACCAAATAAATCAATAACCGACTAAACCAACCGAATAACACCCTTATGTTCATGAACATAAATTGAACAAAAAAAAAACTACGCCATACATAAATGAACGTTCATGAAAACTAGACCATTGTTTGTGTTCGTTTAACTAAACGAACAAAAAAATCTATTTTATGTTCATTCATTAATTAAATAAACTAACACGAACATACACATAGTTATGAATTTATACATTCCCCAAACTCAATTGCAAGAAGAAGGCACCAAATTTAACTTTAACATCAAAATTAAAAACGAAACCACAAATGTGCTTTGTAAAGATACGATTCAAAGCAAATAGATAATTCTTTATTACACATGAAAATCAGTTAAACCATGTTCATATGATTCAAAATGTAGGTTCTCATAAAATCAAAATCAAAATACTGGATTAATAATCCTCCCTTTATATGAAAACAAGTCAAAGGAAACATAATCTACTCAAACCAGGAAGAAGAAAGAACTTATATTTATTGCTTGCCCTTAATAACCTCTAAACCAAAAAAAAAAAAAAAAAAAAAAAAAAAAAAAAAAAAAAAAACCATATAATCTCCCAAGGCCTTCGCTATATAATAGATTTCTTTGGTGGGTTTTTTTCAATTCTCTAAAGTCTTTAATCTTGCTGAATTATGCTTTTTTAAACAAAGAAATTAAATTAATCTTGTTAAAAAAACACTATCAATGCTCTACTAAGTATTCCGTTTAAAGAAAGAAATTAAATTGCTAGGTTTTCCACACTTTGATTTTAGTACAATTAAGAAATCCATATTTGAAACGTGAAATAAATATTAAGCAACTACAGTCATATGAATTAAGAAATTTAAATAAAGTTCTAGTCCTAACCAAACCACCTTTCACCATCACTTCATGCAAACACACACTCAACTCAAACAGGAATCATCTTCAACACCACAGCAATCGGCATGCTCAAAAACCCAGTCAAAACACTATAATACCATTGCTTCATTGTCAACGGCGTCGTATTAGCAAACGTCCCCAGAAACTCAATTATTATCACCTGGAACACAGCAGTCGCTCCAAGAACACTCATGAACACGTTATTTCTAAATATCCCATTCAACACATTCACCTTCTCCATTTCCCTCGAATTCACCTCATTAAACAACTGCAAAATTAACGATAATTAATTATCGCACTTATCACAATTTTCCCTAAATTGAATTTGATTGTTGATTACCTGACAGAAGACGAAGGAGTTGAAAATTAGGGTATTGAGGATTAAATCGGAATTGGGTCCATAAAGTCCATAGAATTCTTTTCCTCTTGATTGAAGAAGCCAAATGATAACGAATTGATACGTAGATTGCCCGAAGATGTTTCTCCACATCACGTTGCTGATGAAATTGCCTGATCGGCCGACCGGAATTCGCTTCATTAGCTCATCGTTTGGTGGCTCCGTCGCTAGCGCCAGTGCTCCCAAGGTGTCCATTATCATGTTCACCCATAATAGTTGGACAGCTGTCAGTGGTGTGCTCCCTAAATTTATAATAAGAAAAAAAAAAAAAAAAAGGTAAATTACACGAATAGTTCTTATGGTTTGAGTAACTTACATATTTAGTTCCTAAACCTTTTTTGAGTAGATGATACCTGTCATACAAGCTGAAGTGAAGTTGACCAATAGAGCAACAATGTTGACGGTTAGTTGAAACTGTACGAATTTTTGAATGTTAACGTACACTGATCGGCCCCATTTTGCAACGGTCACGATTGTTGAGAAATTATCATCCAAAATTATAACATCTGCACTCTCTTTCGCTACCTAAGTTTGATATTTTGTTATCATCCAACATATAAGTAATTAAGTATGTTGTTATAGGCTAAAAATGAAATACATCGCCTTTTATCGGTAAAAGCACATTGCTATATTGATAGTGAAAGGAAAGTATGTTGTTATTAACAATTACCTCAGTTCCAGCAATTCCCATTGCAAGCCCAATATCAGCCTCATGAAGTGCGGGTGCATCATTAGTTCCATCGCCTGTAACTGCCACAACCTCCCCAAATGTCGTCCGTAAATGTTTCACCAGTGTATGTTTATCAAGAGGCGAAGACCTGGCCATCACCTATTAAAAAAGAAATTAATATATCAATTGTTTTCTTTTAGAACAGCTAATGAATCTTTTGGTAGTTGTTAATTGGGTTATAATAGACTGGGTTAGAAGCTTGGGTTGAGTCAGAAGCAAGAAGCAAAAATGGATACCAAACACTTGGATTGAGGACCGAGTCCAAAACTGAAGAGTAAAACTCAGTACAAAGTTTTTTTTCGAACAAAATGGTGGAATTTAGGATCGAGTCAGGAGGTTTTGAAGCAAATCAAAGACACTGATTGGAAAATATGGATTGAGTCCTAACTTTGGACCTGGTCGAAACTTTATCAAACGGTTCCTAACACACACCCTTTAAATTTTTTTTATTTATAAACTATATTTTTATCAACCACATAACTCCTTAGGAAGAAATTCAAATACATGATATGTTAGACCAAATTTGTTATCACCCGATTAATCTTACATACTCTTTATTTACCTGAATCTTAGGCACAATATCATTTAATTCCTCAAGACTCTTCTCACGAAAATCCGGGCCTTCAATCGCAACGCCACCTTCTCTAAGTATCCCACATTCTTTAGCAATAGCTTTTGCAGTATTAATATTATCCCCTGTAACCATCCTCACAGTAATCCCAGCTGATCTACAAAGCGCCACTGATTCCTTCACACCTGGACGGACAGGATCTTTAATCCCCACAATTCCAATACAAGTATAGCCATTAGATGGAATCGGAGTCTCACTATTCACATTCTTATCCAAATCAATATACGCCAAACACAAAGTCCTTAAAGCTTCACTAGCAAATTCATCAATCGTCCCTTTCAAATATTTCAATGAACCTTCATTTAACGGAATCACTTCGCCGTTAGCATTAACGACTTTATCACATGCCGCTAGTATGATCTCAGAAGCACCTTTACAATGTGCTCTAATAGTTCCTTCTGGAAGCTTCAAAACCACCCCCATTCGTTTCTTTGAAGAATTAAAGGGTTCCACTCGCAACACACTCCCCACCTGTCGCTCCGCCGTGAAATCTCCGCCTAACGACAACCCAAACTCCAAAATCGCTGCCTCTGTTGGCGTCCCGAGAATCTCTCGTTTCCCTTGTTTGTTATTCACGACTTCGCCGCCGGTGTTGTTGAAGATTGATTGGAGTAAAATCTTCAATGCTTTATCGGGAATTCCGTGTTTTACTTCTTTGTTTACGTCTTTTGCGTTTAAACAAATGCAGGATTTGACAACTGTCATGTGATTAGTTGTTAAAGTCCCGGTTTTATCACTGCAGATACTGGTAGCGGAGCCCATGGTTTCGCAGGCGGCGAGGTGGCGGACGAGTGCTTTGTCATCCATCATCTTTTTCATCGCGAACGCTAGAGATAAAGTCACAGCAAGTGGGAGACCTTCCGGGACTGCGACGACGACGATGGTGACGGCGATCGCGAAATATTCTAACAACTCCAAAGCATCGTCGGCGATCCAGTTCCATTGGGTTCCTTCTGAGAGTTTCCGATTTAAAAGTTTCCGGACTAAAACTGCAAAAGTGACGACGGCGAAGAAAAGACCGATTTTTCC